GAAGGTAGAATCATTAACAACCTGGGATATGAGGACAACACAACTTTGCTTGCTGAAAGTGAGGATGACTTGAGGCACTTACTGATGAAGATTGAAGAATATAGTCTGCAGTATGGATTACATCTCAATATAAAGAAAACAAAAATCCTCACAACTGGACCTATCAGCAGCATCACCATAAATGGAGAAAAGACTGAAGTTGTCAAAGACTTGGTTCTACAATCACCGCCAATGGAAGCAGTAGTCAGGACATCAGATGACGTATAGCAATGGGCAAGTCAGCTGCAAAAGACCTCTGTCAAGTGCTGAAGAGCAAAGACATCTTCTTTAGAACTAGGTTGCACCTGACACAAACCATGATATTTTCAATTGCTTCATATGCATGTGAAAGCTGGACAATGAATAAGGAAGACTGAAGAAGAATTGATGCTTTTGAGTGGTGGTGCTGGCGAAGAATGCTGAAAGTACCTTGGACTGCTAAAAGAACTAACAAATCTCTCCTGGAAGAAGTGCAGCAGGAAAGTTCCTTGGAAGCGAGAATGGCCAGACTTCGTCTCACCTACTTTGGTCATGTTGTCAGAAAGGAACATTCCCTGGAGAAGGATGTCATGCTTGGTAAGTTGGAGGGTCGGTAAGAGGGGAAGGTCCTCTATGAGATGGACTGACACAGTGGCTGAGGCGATGGGCTCAAGTATAGCAGGGATCGTGGAGCTGGCGCAGGACCGGGCAGTGTTTCCTTCTGCTGTGCATTTGGGGTCACTATGAGTCAAAGACGACTCAACAGCACCCAACAACAACACAACAAACACTCTTTAGAGGAAATACAATTCCAATCCGAAATTCCAGCAGGACTTCTGTATGTATTGACAAGTTGGTTCTAAAATTAATATGGAAAGGTGATGGAACTAAAAGAGTGAAACAAATTTTGAAAAAGAAGAACAAAGTTGAAGCATGCACAATACTGTATTTCAAGACTTACTATAAACATACAACAAGTCTGATATTGGAGAAAAAAATAGGTATCAATCAATGGAATATAGGTAAAAAAAAAAAAAAAGCAGAGTACCTTTAGATGTCTTGCAACTTCAGGATTAAATAGAGGTGTTTTGATGTAATGAAGAAAGAGTGTTGTAATTCTTTTCCTGAGTCCTTCTAGATTATGAGATTTAACTCCTCTCATCATAAGGTCAACCTCTCTGTCAATCAATTCTAGAATTTCCTGAGTCAGTTTACATTCATGTTCCTATTTTAGAAAATAATAATAAAATAGTCAGTACATAATTTTTCAAATCTCTTACTTTTCAGAATTACCACCCAAACCAAACCAAAATCTAGATTACAAAAAAAAAGAAAGAAATATTGCTGGTAGGAGTATAAATTGGCACAACTAACTTGGGGGAAAAAAAATGTTAGTATTATTTAGTGGAGGTGAAGATGTGCATAGTCTGTGACTCAGAAATCCTACTTCTATGTGCTTTAGAGAAATGTCAGGGAGAGACACTGTTCATAGTAGCCAAAACTTAGAAACTACAAATATCAGTAAATAAGGTGGTTGGATAAATAAATTCCAGTTCAGTCATACAAAGGAATAGTATTTGGTATGGAAGAAGATGAACTACAGCTATAACAATAACAAGCTTGAATCTTACAAAGCAATGTTGAACAATAGAAGCAAGGCACAAAACAACATACAGTACAATTCCATTCAAATAAAACTTCAACACTAAGCAATACTAAACCATATTATTTAGAGATATAAACAGTGGCAGTAAAACTGTAAAGAACAACTTAGGAAATGTCTACTATAAATGCCAGTAAGGGAGTTATTTCCAGGGGAGGAGAATGGGGCTTATGTAGCTATTGTTGGCTTCACAATATTTATTAAAATGTATGTATGCG